GGGATTACAGGCTGAGCCACCATGCCCGACCAGCTACTTCCTTTCAAATAGATTTTTCTTTAAATTGCTCTCAAGTTTATTAACTGCTAAGAATCTAATAAATTTAACTCTGTTTGGCCCTGCAGAAGCTATAAACAGTAGGAGTGTAGAAAATGGTCAATAGATTAAATTGTAACCTGTGAATTTCTTAAATAGTATAAATATGATATGATTCAAAAGCCATAAAGGAAAGCAAACATTTAAAAAAATCCAACAGATTTGTTTACTTGGGCACAACATTAAAAAATGCCATTTCCATTTGTGTTGTTAACAAGTTTGTCCAGAAAATTTCTAAGTTTACATTGACAAAGTTTATAGTACTGGCTGTCTTAAGATAAATAAACTGAAGATAATTTTGCCAGCTTGTTTATATTTTCAAAACCATCACAGGTTTGATAATGTCAACCACCAACCAGCATACACACAACTGTTGAGACAAAATGTTTGGTGTCCACTCATCATACTGGGAGATTTTTCTTAATTTAAAAAAATTGGAAAAAATTTCCACCAGTTTACGTGTTTGGTCACTTATTGACACTCTTTTTTCCTGATGTTGAGATTTTGGAACCTTCGTAGGGACCTGGCTTTTGTTGGCATTGTGGAAGATAAAAGTTTTCAAAGAATGTTTGCTAGATAACTTCATGTACAATAGTACTTAATTATCTCCTGGTTGGAGACAGAAAAGTCTGGTTTAATCCCATAAATGTGTATGTGGGGAGTCCTTACTTCTGAACCATGAAAAATTATCTAGCCAAATGATTTTTTTCACTCTATAAATATACTATATATATCATCATTATGGTTACTCCAGACTTTATTTGAGTTGTGTATCTTTATCTGGGATCTTTCTTTGACCAATCTCAATTGCTTCCAGAGCATACTTATTTATCATAGAACCTTGAATTTACATAGCATCCAAGTAATTAAAAACAGCACGCTATACAGACTGTGACTCTGCGAGCCCTTTACCTTTATGGATGGCAATATTACGTTAAAGGACATATTCTTCATTGAGATCTAAAGAATTCAGAAAACACTACCCAATAAAAAAGAAAGAGTATGCATAACAATTTTTAAGAACACCAAGAAAGAACAAATTATCACTTGAAAAGTCCTGTGTTTGTTACGACCATGTTGTTTTGATCAGCAGGAAACACATGAGCTCCTTTCCCTACAAGATTTTTTTTCTCTTAACGTAGAAAAAAAAAAATTATACTATAAACATTGTCACAAAACTTTGTTATGGACTAGAATGAGCATGTTTCCAGGAAGGAGAGATTGCCCTGCAGGGCATATTGTGAAACCTGGGAAAAGTCACAAGGTCTCAAAACTGGAGTGGCCTATGGGAGGGAACACGTGGAGTAAATCTGTATGGCAAAGGAATTACTATGTGACTGTGAGTTGAGAGAAATGTGTCTGTGTGTATCTGAAAGGCCATAGTAGGATTTATTTTATTTTATTATTTTATTTTAAAGATGTGGGGTACAACTAAGGGTTAGTCATACAAATGTTCATTATGCTGGTACCCTTGTTGATGAGGTGTGTCCCTCCACCCCAGCAGTTTCCCACTACCGCCAATCCCTTTCTTATAGTATTATGATAGTTGTTCAAGGTCCGCTTATGAGTTAGAACATGTGTGATACTCAATTCTTTGTTTCTGTGATAGATTACTCAGTATTATGGTCTCTAGGTCCATCCAAGTTGATTTCTTGTTTTCACCATAGAATAGGCTTACTAACTCTGGATGGCATGCCTTGTTTGGGCTTCAAGTTCTTCGTCAGTTATTTTCTATCTAAATTACTAAAAGGCTTTGATAACAAGTAGTCTATCCAAGTTGGAAATCTTGGTTTCATGTATATAAATTCTTTTTTCATAGAGACGGAGGTGTCGCTATGTGGCCCAGACTGGTCTCGAACTCCTGGCCTCAAGCCATCCTCCTGCCTCGGCCTCCCAAAGTGCTGGGAATGCAAGCATGAGCCACCATACCCAACAGCAAGTTGGAAATCTTGAATGGCGGGCCTAACAGTTACTTTCTTTAAACTACTCGGATAACTGACGATAAAGCAATTTAATTTTAAATTACCTGCTTTCATGTTAAGACTGGCATTCAACCAGAACTTCAAAATATATCCGGAGCACAGCTACTGCTATTTCCTCTAATGTTTTTACTCTGGATCAGCCTACTGGCCTGCCTCATCTGGCTCATGGCGACAGGTTTCCAGAAGGCCCCACGGCCATCAAGACAAGGCAGACAGAGGACACCGCCAAAGCCTGGGATGTCCATGGCTCACAGGATGCTGTATTCTTCTTGGAAACACACTCACTGTGGTCCATGGCACAGCCTGTGTGGCAGCGAGTGCAGTGGTTTGGAGTAAATGCAGCGGCCTACACACCTTCAGGATCTGGTTTCCCGCCATTCACTCTCTATGTCTCTTTGCTATTCCTCAGCTATACTGGGGGCTCCTACCTTGGGGAATCTGCACTATGCTCCTTCACCGGGAACATGCCTCCCCAATATATCATCATGGCTGTTTCTTGACTCCCTCAGGTCTTTCCTCAGTTGTGTCACTGAGGCCCTCCTGATCTACCCAATTTAAGGCCGAATCCTTCCCAATACTTTCTATCTCCCTTCCGTTTTTATGTTTTCAATTTTAATTAGTGGATTTAATTTTAGAGAAGCTTTAGATTCAAAATAAATGTGAGCAGAAAGCTCAAGAATTCCCACATGACTCTCTCTTTGCCCCCCAGAGCCTCCTCCATCCCATCCCCCACCAGAATGGTACAAATGAACCTCTATCCATACATCATTATGAGCCAAAGTCCCTAGTTCACATTGAGTTCACTCTTGGTGTTGTAAATTCTATGGGCTTTAACAGACATATAACGACATGTATCCACCATTATAGCATCCTACAGAGTAGTTTCCCTGCCCTAAATATCTTCTGTGCTCCACCTGTTTATCTCCCTGTTCTTCCTCAGAACCACTGGCCACAGTTATGTCTTTTCCAGGATGTCATGTAGTCAGGATCATACAGTACGTGGACTTTGCAGATTGGCTTCTATTATTCAGGAATACGCATTTAAGGTTCTTTCCAGTTGAGGAAAGGGAATGCTTCTACACTGCTGGTGGGAATACAAACTAGTTCAACCTCTATGAAAAACAGTGTGGTGATTCCTAAAAAAACTAGAAATTGACCTTCCATATGACCCAGCAATCCCCCTACTGTGCTACAGAAAAGATACCTGCCCATGCGTGTTTACTGCAGCACTATTCACAATAGCAAAAACATGAAACCAACCGTGCTGCCCATCAAAACTGGACTGGCTAACAAAAATGTGGTACATATACACAATGGGATATTATGCAGCCATAAAGAAGGACAAACATATAGACTTCGCAGCAACTTAGATGAATTTAGAGTCTATCATACTCAGTGATCTATCACAGAAACAAAGAACAGAGTACCATATGTACTCACTCATAGGCGGACCCTGAACATTTACTATAAGAAAGGGATTTGTAGTAGCAGGATACTGCCAGGGTGGAGGTGGGGACACAATATCCATAAGAGTACCTGATCTCAAACCAGGCAAAGTGGGTACCAAAGAGAGGCCCAAACTTTACCTGTACAATGTCCACTTGTATACTTAATCCTGAATTGTACCCCACATCTTTAAAATAAAAAATAAAAAAAAACACATATATAAATTTCCTCTGAGTCTTTTTGTAACTTGATAGCTCATTTATCTTTAGTGCTGAATAAAATTCTATCATCTGGATGTATCAGTTTATTTATTGACTCAGCTACTAAAGGACATCTTGCTTACTTTCTACCCTCTTGTTGTCTTAATAATACCCTTATTTCTGTGTTGCCTATAGCTCCCACCATCTTCACTCTAGTATAACCTTCATGAAGTTATGAATTTCTCTGCTATGCCCCTGCACCTAGAACAGAGCTTGATAGTACACAGTAGATGTTCAAGAAATGTATACAGTCAATAAAAGAATAATAAAAAGACATTTTCCAAAAGACACAAAAAGTTCTTAAGTTTATCTCCAATCATGCACCACAAAAAAATGTATATATAAAGTACTTTGATAACTATGTGAAGGTCACAGAAAATATCTATCAAAGATGTGTCTAAAGTGTTTAGCCCAGACCCTGGAACATAGCAAGGATTCTTCAGATATTTGCTTTCTATGAAAATATGAGCTCCCTGAGGGCAGAGACCCCATCTGTTGTATCCACCTTTGTTTCTGGACACCAAGAACAAAGGCTGGCACATAGTCATTATTTCAACAATATTTGTTGGATAGATAATCAGTACATCTCAACCTGATGGTTTTCTTACTCAATGATTTGTTAATTCACCTGTCAAATAGTTTTAGTGAATCAAAGGGGTGTTAAATAATGTTTATTGTTGAAGTAATTACTTAAACACAACCATAATTCACCATGCTGTTTGGTCCAAGCTCAACTGTAATCTCCTATCACAATCTGAAAAATAATATTATGATTTCTTCTTCTCTATGGGTGTTACTAGTATATTGGTTAAAGCAATGTCAGGAGAAAAAAATCCATTGATGTGCAAATGTTTGATGAATGTGTCCCATGCTAAAGGGAAAAGCCTAGAAGTGATGAAAGACAGATGAATGTCCTCATTTGCTATGGATTTTTGAATGGCTGGAGACTATTCATTTCATAAAATTAAAAATAAAACGAAATAAATAGTTCTCTTCTAGAAGTGGCAGATGTGGAAAATCTCAATAAAGATATAAAATAGGATGACAGAGAATTCTTTAATAGATGCATCTTCTTGTCCTGAACCCAAAAAGTTAAAACAAGAGAGGTTCTATCTTGTGGAGGAAGTATGGAAGGATGTATTTTGTGAAGGCAAAATATAATATCTTTATGGATGAAGATAAAATACAGTGAGTGTGGGAGATAGTATAAACTTACCCATCATTGTTAACATCTGATACTACAACAGTGTATCCAAAATAAGATGCCATCTGCAAAAGAAAACCATAATGACTTTTTATGTTCAAAAAGTCGTTTTTATAGTCACCTCTTCATTCTTTCTGAAAGATTTATCTCATTGTAGTACATTTTTGCATTTAAATTCATAGACTCTTGGACGTGGTCAGAGTCTGAGTCATTTAGTCTAACCCCTGACCCTATGAATAATTTTCCTCATAGTAACCATGACATCTGCTTGGATATCCTCTGAAGATGTCCAGCAGTCATCCCATTTGGCCCTGCTACAACTTCTTACTCTTACCTGGTTCTGCAATCTAGAAACTCACAGAATAAACCTAATTCCACTTCCGTGAAAAGTCTAATATGACATGTTTTTTAAAATGTTCACCATTTTGTCCTTTCTTTTCTTTTTTTTTTTTGAGTTGGAGTCTCACTCTGTCGCCCAGGTTGGAGGGCAGTGGCACACTCATGGTCACCTCAGTGTTGACCTGCTGGGCTCAGGCGATCCTTCTGCCTCAGCTTTCCAAATAGCTGGAACTACAGGTGTGCACTACCATGCCCAGTTAATTTTTGATTTACTGTAGAGAAGAGGTCTCACCAAGTTGCCCAGGCTGGTCTCGAACCCACGGGCTCAGGCAATCCACTCGACTCGGCCTCCCAAAGTGCTGGTATTACAGGCTGAGTCACAGAGCCCAGCCTCTCCCTCTTTCTTAGAGATACCACATGGTACCAAAAGAGCAGATGACACATGTGAATGCATTTCGAGACAAGAGTCAAGTAGGATTTATGTGTCCTCCTTTGGGCTCTTTCTATTACTGAAGCATAAAGATGGTTTTCATTTTGGAGAATCCACCTCTCAGTTTCAATCTATATTGAGCACACAGTCCACAAAAGCTCCTAAATCCTTTTTTATGAGTGTAAGTAGCATACCCATAGAGGACGACCTCTCTGTATTTTCTCTCTGAAATTTTTGTTTTTTCACCTGTATTTTTAGGATTTATACTATTTTCAGATTCATGCCATTGTTTCACTGTGCCAGTTTTGTTTCCATAGAGGGTCATCCAGTGTTTTAGGTGACTCAGCCCCCGCATCATGTACTCATTTATTTAACGTATAATCCATTAGAAAGTGTACCCCACGGAAGGCAGAGACTTTGGTCTGTTTTGTTTATTCTTTGATCTGCACTTCCTGACCAGTGTCTGGACCAAAGTGAGTGACAGGTGCTAAGTACTCTGCAGAGGGAATGAACACATGAATTAAGTGGTATGCAGTCACTCAATTCTCCAACCTCTTTTCTCTATTTCAAACATACAAGAAGAGACACACAAAAATAAAACCCCCAAACCCAAACAACAACAACGAAATTGTCTTTTGAGGGCGGGCCCCTTGTAGTACAGGCTTTCGCCACTAACTATTCAAGGAACTCATTGACATCAGTGTACCAGCTAGCATTGCTGTGAGAGGCTGCGTTCGGCTTTAATGAAGTTTTTTTTTTTTTAATGGAGATTCTTTGGATGCATTTGCCCATTTCATGATGGGTGATTTACAAGCACACCTGTTCACACCATGCCGGATGTTCAGCAGTTTGGGGCCCCAAACAAAACGATCCCTATGTCCCTCCCTCCTTATTCACCTGATCTTACCCCAAGCGACTTTTTTTTTTTGTTTCCCCAGATGAAAAAATTCCTCAAAGAGAAACGTTTTGCCAACGTGGAAGAGGTGAAATAAAAAATGACCAGAAGCACTAAAAGGCATCCAAATCAAGAAGTTCAAAAAATGTTTGAGCAGTGAAAAAAGTCTCTCCATAGGTGTGCTACATCAAATGACGAGTACTTTGAAGGTGCTTGAAGTTTAAACAGGTAAGAATACACAATGTTTTAATAAATAAATTCCTGGTTTGTGGGGGGTCCCCCCTCATATATGGTAAAATATTTATTCCCAGTGTGGCATTGTGTGGCCTTCACTTGAAGGAAAGTCATCATTTATATGTTAACTTCTGAGGTTCAGGATTGCAGAACTAGGTAGTTTTGAGGACGAGAGGTTATAGAAGGCCCAATTTTACAATGTTTAAAAGCATCTAATTATAAAAATATAAAAAACAGATCTGGGCAAAAGAAAAATACTACTAGGGTCTCACTAGACCATTCATTACCAACCCTTAGGGCTAGTTGTTGAAAATGTATAAATCCATCCAACTTCACTCTCACCTCAGCCTTATTTCTTTATATCGTCCATAAATGCTATCAGGAGACATGTGACTGTTTTATTGCAAATTTCAGAATGACAAGTGGACAGAAGTCTCAAATTTTTGCAAAAAGATGTCCAAACCACTTTGTGTTCCTTTAAAAGCCCTGCTCATTAAAGTTTCTTAACAATTCCATTATTTAAGACTTGTATCTTTAGGTAGGAGTTCGTCCAGATTTTCAACCGTGATCCAGAGGGCTAAGTAAGAGACAGCTTGGCCAGGTTCAAATGTGAGGCGTGCTAGAAGCTCCATAACCTGGGTAGGTGGTGGGGAGAGAAAATTGGCTGCCCAGAGAAACAAATTCAACTCACAGTTGGCTCCCTGTTTAAAGAAGTATGGCAAGTTTTGCCAAGTCACAATAATCAGGAAAATACAGGGTGGTGTGTGTTCAGGGAAACAAGTCAAACACATTTCTAGGAACTGTTAAATTCAGGGCAAGAGACTGAAATATTAAGAAATGCAGGTGAGGTTTCCTCTTTTCTGTAAAGTCAGGGCTTTCAAAAAATAAGAACTGTACAAGGGCAGGCTAGAATATGTAGTTGATGTCTACAGTTTCCAGTCAGCCTGGAATTTCCTAGACTCTCTAAGTGCCAGCTACTGAGCCAGTGTTGTCCAGCAAAGCAGATTATGTTCCTTAAAAGCAAAATGCAGCTGGGCATGATGGCTTATGCCTATAATTCCAAGGCTTTGGGAGGTCAAAGCCAGAAGATTGCTTGAAGCCAGGAGTTTGAAATCAGCCTGGGCAACATAGCAAGACCCTGTCTCTACAAAATATTTTTAAAATTCAGTGGGTATGGTGGCATGTTCTTGTAATCTCAACTATTTGGGAGGCTGAGGCAGGAGGAATGCTTGAACCCAGGAGTTCAAGGCTTTAGTGAGCTACGATTGTACCACTGTACCCCTGCCTGGGCAACAGAGTGAGACCCTGTCTCTAAATTAAAAAAAAAAAAAAAGGCAAAATGTCACTAACTTCGAGAATAATCTTGCTATCTTGTTATACTACAGGCCCTGTTTCTGTGTCTGGTGGTGAGTTCTTGATCCCTGCCTCCCCTCTAAGATGATACTAGGTACCCTTGGGTTCCATCCTATTGGTAAGAGTCAATCAATGAACCTGGGCTTCTGTCTCTCTTCCTCACTGTAACTGGATCCCTCTCCTGATTCTCAATGGTGGAGTCTTGACAAGCCATAGCTCTGGTCCTTTCCTCCTAGGGACTAGATATTGTTCCTTAGCCATTGTCATAAGCTAGATCCAATTGTGAATGGGTCAGTTGCCTGAAAACGGGATGCCACCATCCTCCTGTTGCAATGTGGTCTGAGGCCACACACACCTCGTCCTCCATCCTGTGTTTTTCTGGATAATGTGACCTGGTAAAACTTGCCACGTTTCTTTTTTTTTTTTTTAAATAACAATGACGTATTTAAAAATTACAACTAGGTAAAACCAACAAGGAAAAATAATCTTTGACCTAAAGGAAGCACTTGTTCCTGTTAGTAAACTTGGATTCTGGTAATTTCTTTATCTTTATTTTTAGTTTTACAGATTTATGGGTACAAGTGCAATTTTGTGACATGCATATAATTGTGTAGATATCTGGACTTTTGGTGTACCTGTCACCCGAATAGGGAATTTTTCATCCCTCACCCTTCTTCGATCATTTGGAGTTGCCAGTGTCTATTATTCCACTCTGTATGCCGAGACACATTTCTCTTTTTTTGAGTCAGGGTCTCACTCTGTTGCTCAGGCTGGAGTGCAGTGACACACTCACGGCTCACTGCAGTGTCAACTTCCTGGACTTAGGCAAGCCTTCCACTCAGCCTCTCGGGTAGCTGGGACTGCTGGGATGCACCATCACACCCAGCTAATTTATTATTATTATTATTATTTTTGTAGAGATGGGGTCTCGCTATGTTGCCTAGGATGATCTCAAACTTTTGGGCTCAAGCGATCCTCCCACCTTGGCCTCCCAAACTTCTGTGATTATAGGTGTGAGCCACCATGCCTGGCAGACACATTTCTTTAAACACTGAATTGGTACTGCCATCTAAAGGAAGTCAGTTGTGAGTTGAATCTGTTTCTCTGGATAACCAATTTTCTCTCCTCTTTGAATTAAATTCACATGGTTAATTGTAGATGTATTGCTTTCTCAGTTTTGTGTTTGTGTTTAATTTTAAATGAGATTTGTAGTTCTCTGTGTAAATAGTCACATATGAGCTACAACCCCAAGGAGTTCATTGATTTTGGATATTTCCTGCATTAAAACATGGAGACCAGGACTCTACATTTTCCTGAAGTTGATAAGTAGCCATTTATGATCATTGTAAGCACCTGTATTTGCATGCTTCTCAAGTTACAGAAGACTGAATGGCACATAGAAATTTAATGGTTTTTGTTTAATTGAAAGGAAAGGACAGGAAATGGAGTGGAAGGGAATGAACATTTCTTGGGTAGTTATTATGCGCCAGGAAATTTTATAAGTAACCTACAATTCTTGATTTCTTTCATTCTCAAAGGGAGCTTGGGAGGTAGACATTTTATCGATGGTTTGCAAATAGGACTCAGAGAGGTCAGGTGATTTTCCTGTGGTCTCAGACAAGTGAGAACTGAAAATTTGATCTGTCGATTATGGAAGTTAAGGCCCTTATCACAGTGGCCCCCTCTCCATATCTAAGACCAGTATCTTCATATATTTCCAGACTACGGAAAAGATCATGTTCACACAAAACCGCTTCCCACTGCTTTTAGAACAGAATCCCTTGTCCCCAATATGATCCACCTGCCACTCCCCAGGCTCACAGGAGTCGCCCTGGCCCCTCCCTTGTTAGCACCCACATTCCCTATTCTTACAGACACTGTGGGCTTCATTCTGCTCCTCAGACATGTCCAGTTGATTCCAGTTTGCATGCCTTCACATTAGCTATTCCCTTGCCTGGACTGTCCTGGACAAGATGGCATCGTTGACTGTGTCTTGTCAGTTACATCTCAGCCCACAGGTCACCACCTCAGAAGGCCTCTTTGGCTCCCCCACCACCTCCCTCCCATCTTATATAACTCTGTTTTATTTTCTTTATATCATGGATCTAACTAGCTGTCCCGTGTCCTCTCCCTCCCCTGCCACCTCACTGCCATGCGAGAGTTGGGATTTATCTGTCTGATGCACTATTGCACCCCCAGTGTCTAGACGAGTTTCCAGCTCATAGTAGGTGCTCATCAAATATTTGTTGAATGAGATGAATATTATAAGATACTATTAACACAGATATTTGTTATTAAAATGTCTTTACCTGTTCACCAGTGAAATTCTGAATAAAGGTCATATCTGTAGAGTTAATGATTGAAACCTGAAATCATAGAAATTGGAAAAGTCACAGCATTTGACATAGAATTAGAGAAATTTTAAAGAAAATTATAATTTGAATCATTTAAAAATTTTTGTGAATAAATGATCAGCTATATTTAAAGCAAAACTGAAAGCTTATAAGAATGATCTAAAAAAAAAGCTGATTTAACTATTTGTTGATTGTTAAGTCTGGGAAACTTTCAGACAAAATACATGCTTATTAATCTGAGGTGGGAAAATAAAAGCTGAATTCAAGAATGCTGAGAGCAAGTAACATGATGGTTAGCTTATTTAATCAGGATTTTTGTCTAAATTCATTTCTGTTTTCATGCCATTATGAGAAATTGATAGTTATGGCTCTTTGCACGAAAAATGAGATTTTAAAATGTTACCCACATAGCAAAAGTATTCCTTTTAATTCTACTCAGACTCTTGTTTTCTAGATAATTTTTTCAAAAGATAAACTATAAACTTTTCTTGGCATGATGTCTATTTTTTTTTCTTTTCCTAATTTCATGGTAACTAGGCACAATGGGCTTGAACAGTATACCCCTAAAACTCATGTCTACACTAAACCTCAGAATGTGACCCTATTTGCAGATGAGGCTTTTGTAAATGAAATGAGTTAAGGATCTCGAGATAAAATCATCCTAAGTGGGTTCTAAATCCAATGACTGGTGTCCTTGTAAAAAGAGAAGAAGACACATAAATACAGAAGATTGTATGAAGATGGAGGTGGAGGTGAGAGGGATGCTGCCACAGCCAAGGGTGCCAGGAGCCATCAGAAACTGGAAGAGGTCAGAGAATTCTCCCCTAGTTGCTTCAGATGGAACATGGTCCTACCCACAAGTTGAAGTCAGACTTCTAGCCTCCAGAACTGTGAGTGAGTCAATTATGTTGTTTTAAGTTCCCCGGCTTGTAGTAATATATCACGGCAGTCTTAGGAAACGAATACATTAGTAAAATAACAATAGATTTTATTTCCACTACGTGAGACATAATACAGTGTTGATCATAACAACGGCATCCTCCAAATTATGCCTAGATTTATGTGCATGGGTAGGGCTGGCTTCATGGGTGTGTGAAATGCAGTCACACAGGACTCTGTGCTTAGATGGGTCATGCCTTTGGCTTAATACTTTGCTATTGCTATCCTGAATTTTTTTTTTTTTTTTGAGACAGGGTCTCACTCTTGTTGCCCAGGCTGGAGTGCAGTGGCACAATCATGACTCATGGCAGCCTCAACCTCCCGGGCTCAGGTGGTCTTTCTGCCTCAGCCTTCTGAATAGCTGGGACTACAGGCACACGATATCATGCCCATCTAGTTTTTTGGTTTTTTTTTTTTTTGGTAGAGACGAGGTCTCGCTATATTGCCTAGGCTGGTCTCAAACTCCTGGGCTCAAGTAATCCTTCCACCTTGGCCTCACAAAGTTTGGGATTACAGGCATAAGCCACCATGCCTGGCCTTGTCCTGAAATTTTTAATTTCCATTTTGGATTAGGTCCTGTCAATTATGTAGCTGATTCTGTACATGGATCAGAACAAATCTAGCCTCACGTGTTTTCCTTCATCTTTAGCACACAAACAGCATGAATCAGTAGGAGGAGCTCATTAGCAAAGGATATTTTAAAGACTAGAAAGTTGCATGAAGGAAAACACTTATTTGCATATATATATTTGCATATATAGTACAACTGTTTGACTTTACGATGGAGTGAAAATGATGATTCAGTAGAAACCATACTTTGAATTTTAATCTATCCCAGGTTAGTGATATGCAGTACAATATTCTTATGTGAAATATTCAGCAATTTATAAAAAAAGATCCTTTGTGTTAGATAACCATAGGCTAATGTAAGAGTTCTGAGCACATTTAAGATAGACTAGGCCAAGTCTAGCAGACTAGGCTAGAATAGTACACTAGACTAGGCCAAGTCTACTATATCTAGTAGGTTATTTGTATTAAATACATTTTCAATTTATAATATCTTCAACTTACTATGAGTTTATTAGGATGTAATGCCAGCGTAAGTAAAAGAGCATCTGTACAAGAAAACAACACATTCTTAGTACTCACATATCCAAAATTCTGTGCTCCTCTTGGAACTCCAGCAACCAATTCTGGGGATAAAAATAGTCATTTAGACATATATATTTTAAAACTATATAACAATGAGTGGTAAAGACAATTTTCTTTTCTTTTGTTTTTTAATGGGAGCCATCATGTAGAAAGTTGGAAGTTTGAAGTCAGGGCTCTGCATTTACTATTCCATTAGTTTTTGCTCCTTCTACAGATAATAGAAAACAAAGGAACAAAAGCTGTGCTTTGATACTTACCAGTCTTTGTTACCAGGCTCCATGCATTTCTGCCTCTAGAACATAAACCTGGCTTCTCAGGTCTGTGTGTGATTTATAGGTGAGATCTCTTACTCTGATTCCTCCAGCTTTCACTGTGATGACATCTTTTGTACTAGTATAAAAATTTCAGCTCCAACTACACTAACAGGTTAAAAAAATTGGTCTCCTAAGGAAAAGTCACATATCATAAATTATATGAAGCTGGCTTCCTAGAACTGTCTGCTCTAGATTCAGAAAACAATGGTTCTAGTCTTGGGTCTGCCATTTTCTGTGATGAGTCAATGAAATTAATTTATCCCAGTCACCTGCAATTTATGGGAGTTGGAATAGCTGACTATCAAAAATCTTTCCAGCTTTCATACCTAAAACCTAGAATTTCTTTTGATTCATTGGGATATAAAACTTAGTATAATTTAAAGAAAAAGGGCCTGGAAGGGATTCACTTCTATCCAAATTCCCCTTCCACAACACTGATCCTAAAGATACAGCATTAACTATATGCTGTGCTGTGCTCTGGCAGGGTGGAACATATATTCTGTTAGCATTCCCAGTCAGGAAAGATTCATTGGGGTTAGGTGTTGAGCATTTCACCCATTCAGTCAACAAATGTTGACTGGTAACCAGAGGATGCAGCAGTGAACAAAATGGACCAAATTCCCTCCTTTCATGGAGCTTATGCTCTAGCTGGAGGAGCTTATGCTCTAGCTGAAAGAGGCAGTCAATTGAAAAAACATTGAGTCAACTAAATGGTACTGGACAATGCCATTTATCAGTGGTTATGAACATCTTTACTAATTATTACATTTAATAACTCCTTCGTGTTGTGGTTATATGAGGTTGCTGACTCCAAAGTTCTTGGATGTGATGGTTGATTGTTTTTTAAACAAAATCCTAAATGTGGGATGTGAGAAGTAGCAGATAAGTGTATAGTATAAGGGTCATAGAAGAAAAGCGAGGCCGGAAAATGGTACAGAACAGGTTGGAGTTGGAATAGGGAAGGAATTTCTATGTATTAGGGTAGTCTAGGAAGGCCTTAGTGAGAAGGTAACTTGGAGCAAAGATTGAAAAAAAGGAGGAAGCAAGTATTGTGGATATCTGGGAGGAGTATGTTCAGTCACAGGGACCAGCAAGTGCAAAGGCCCTGAGGAAGGCGTATGTCTAGCAAGGAGGCCAGGGTGGCTTAAGTAGAGGGAGTGAGGGATAAAGGAGAAGAAAATGAGTCGAATTAATCAGGTTCCAGGTGAATAGACCCTATTAAGACCCCGTGAAGATTAAATTCTAGGCTGAATGAATTGGGAAATCATTGGGAGCAAAGAGTTGCATGGTCTGACTTCTGTTTCTTTTCTTTTTTTTTTCTTAGAAAGCAGGATTTATTAAGAGGACAGAAAAGCTCCCACAGTGGGAGGGGCCCGAAGGGGTCGCCCGACTTCTGTTTCTAGAGGAGCATCTGCCTGCTGGATTTAGAATAGATTCCAGGATGGCAAGGGTGAAAGCAGGAAGAAGACCAGGTAGGGAGCTATTGAAGTAACACACGTGAGAGATGGTGAAAGCTTGGGTCAGAGTAGAAGCTGTGGAGGAGGAGAGAACTGGTCAGTTTCTGGTTGTATTTGGAGAGTTTTGTTATCAGGATTTGATCATGGATTGGATATGGGACATGGGAGGAAGAACACAGTCCTATGTTGATTTCCAAGGTTTTGGCTTGAGCAAATGGAAGGATGACCATGGAGGGTAGGGCATGGTTTGGTGGGAAGGTCAGAAGCTCAGTTACCAGCACATTACATTTGGGATAGCTGCTCACATAAAGACATTGAGTACAAAGTTGAATACACGAGTCTGGAATTCATTCCAAGCTGAAGAAATAAGTGAGACTGGGTGAGACCACCAAAGAGAACTTGGGGAAATAGTACAGGAACGTTCCAAGGATTTTAGCCCTGAGACACTCCAATGAGGTGAGGGAAATTAAAGAGGAATCATAAAAAAGATGGGGAAGGAACTGCCAGTGGGAAGCCTAATGGAGAAGCCAGAATCAACTCTGTCAAATACTCCTGATCATCAAGGAAGATAAGGTACCTGGAGGTCACAGGCTTGCTCAAGAGTAGTTTCAGTAGAGCTGCAAAGGCACCGTCTCAACAGGAGAGGGTCTAAGAGGAAGGCTCAAGCCTGTAATCCCAGCACGTTGGGAGGCCGAGGCAAGAGGATTGCCTGAGCCCAGGGGTTCTAGACCAGCCTGGGCAACTTGGTGAGACCCCCCCGTCTCTACAATAAATCAAAAAATTAACCAGGCGTGGTGGCGCATGCCTATAGTTCCAGCTACTTGGAAAGCTAAGGCAGAGGGTGGCCATGAGTGTGCCACTGCACTCCAACCTGGGTGGCAGAGTGAGATTCTGACTAAAAAATAAAATAAAATAAAAGGGGAGCCAAGGAACTGTCAGAGAACACAGGCAGGGAAAAGTGACAGCTCTTTTTTGTGTTGTTTGTTTGTTTTGGAGTTTTGTTTATTTGTTTGTTTGTTTGAGTCAGGGTCTCATTCTAGTGCCCATGCTGCCAGGCTGGAGTACAGTGGCACTCTCATGGCTCACTGCCGCCTCACACACCTAGGTTCAAGCAATCCTCAGCCTCCTGAGTAGCTGGGACTATGGTGTGCACCACCATCCCAGCTATTTTCTTTTTTTTAATTTTCTTGTAGAGACAAGGTCTCACTGTGTTGCCTAGGCTGGTCTCGAACTTCTGGACTAAAGTAATCCTCTTGCCTGCTCCAGTCTCCCAAAGCGCTGGTATTAAAGGCATGAGCCACTGCATCCTGCCTGACAGCTCTTTCAAAGCAGGTAGTAGCTGGAGGATAAGAGTTATGTTGTTGTTCGTTTGTTAAAGATGTGATGGTTCAGGAAAGAGGGAAAGATTGATGACGTGAGATAGAGAAGCAAAAACTGCTGGAGTCCCATCTCTGCAAGAGAGTGGGATCGAGTACAAAGCAGAAGGGTGAGCCTTAGACAGGAGTGTGGAGAGTTCGTCGGCAGCCATAGGAAGGCAGGTGAAGGTAGTGCTTGAAGAATAAAACAGGGATCAGAAAAGCTAAGCCACATGGATCAGGGATGCTGTCAGAACTGGTAGTACACTGCCTAGTTGTCAACAACCTTTATTTGGTATGAATTAAACTATTTTAGCACTCAAGGCAAACCACAATCAGATACAATGTAGTTGACTGGTATCAGGGCCAGACCTGTTGGCTAGAACAGATTCTAGAGGATTAGGCCATTTGAGAAATGTAGCAACCACTAATTCTCCCATCCCACAGACATTTAGAATTTTGCTTAAAAAAAAATCAGCCACCACACCCAGTAACTTTGGAGTCTTCAACCTCATATGACCACAACACCAAGGAGTTATTAAGTGTAATGTTGAGTAAAGATGTTCATTATTGTTTATAAATGATTGGGACATTTTAATTGCTTGGGATCTAAAGCAAGTTAGAACTGTCATTCAATTACAAAAATATTCTGTTGGAAGGAAAAGTAGAAAACGTTACTTAGATTCAGTCCAATAACTCATGGTGAAATCTTCAGAAGTTTCTTGATAGCCACTATGGTCAGAAAATATTTAGTTCCTTGACCTGAAAACATGTGACTTGAGAATCAAACAGACTAGTGAGAAGCAGAAAGGAGGCTGGTATTTACTGGATTTCTTCTATCCACTACAGCAGTAGTCCCCAACTTTTTGGCATCAGGGACTGGTTCCTTGAGACAATTTTTCCAGGGACTGAGGGTGGGGAGATGGCTTCAGCATGATTCAAGCTCACTAAATTTATTTTGTACTTTATTTCTACTATTACACTGTAATATACAATGAAATCATTATTATGAAGAAGTTATTATTTTGGTATGAGTCTGCAAGCAATTGATTTATTATGGTCTCTGTGCAGTCAAACCTCACTGCTAATGTTCATCTGTATTTTCAGTCACTCCCCAGAGATAGCATCACCACCTTAGGTCTACCTCAGATCATAAGGCATCAGGTGCCCCTAAGGAGCGCAACCTACATCCCTTGTGTGTGCAGTTCACAACAGGGTTCATGCTCCTATGAGAATCTAGTGCCACCACTGATCTGATAGGAGACAGAGCTGAGGTGGTAATGCAAGCAATGGGGAATAGCTGTAAATATAACTGAAGCTTTGCTCACTCGCTGTGTGGCCTGGTTCCTAAAAGGCCATGGACAAGTATTAGTTCATCACCTGGGGCAAGGGACCCCTGCACTAAAACACATGTGCCATGTATTTATAATACTTCCCTCACTTAACCTCTCAAAATCATGGAGGCATTTATATTCCATTTTCATATATGGGGAAACTGAAGTTTAGAAAATTTTGGTCATATTAAGCTCATAGTTGGTGAATACTAGAAGTTGAGAATTGTCAGCAAAGTCAGTGTTCTTCCTACTCCATCGAATTACTTTCCTGGGCTTGGTTAGGGTCAGATTACTTTGTTGGTGTTTAGCTCCCCACATCTGACCCTAAAATGAGAACAGAGGCTCTCAACCTTTTTTGAGTCATGAATACATTTGAAAATTGGAAGAAAGTTATGGAACCTCTCATTATAAAAGTTTACAAACATACCAACCTTGTATGTAACTAATCTGTGAATTAGTTAGAACACTTGTACTAGTGAAAAGCAGTTAATGTTCATATAAAACAAGATGGAAAATGGCAAATATTGGTTGATTGACTCATCCAACAAATATTACTAGTAAAGTAAAAGTGACCAACTATTGCCTTGTCTATGATAAGTATTTTTATGCATTCGTTCATGCAGTCTTCAGAACAATATTTTAAGTTAGGTAATCTTCATGTCATTTAAAGATAAGCTAATGAAATTCAGGGAGGTTATCATGTCCTGAGAATACAGAGTCAGTGAGGTCAGAACTTGAACCTATATAGACCCTGACTTCAAATATTCAGCTTATTTCTTTTTTTTTTTTTTTTGAGTTGGAGTCTCACTCTGTCGCCTAGACTGGAGTGCAGTGGCCGCTCCCGGCCACCGCAGCCTCGACCTGCTGAGCTCCGGTGATCCTTCCGCCTCAGCCTTCCGAGTAGCCGGAATTACAGGCATGCGCTACCACGCCCAGCTGATTTTTTGATTTATTGTAGAGATGAGGTCTTGCTGCCCAGGCGGGTCTCGAACCCGCAGGCTCAGGCAATCTGCTCATCTCAGCCTCCCAAAGGCGCAGGATTACAGGCTGAGCCACCGAGCCCAGCTTATTCAGCTTATTTCTATCATGCTGTCTTCTATATGAGTCTAGAATGAGCAAAATACCATCTAGTCTTGGTGGGAGAGATACATAAGAACAATACATAATAATATATAGATCTTGCCTTTAAGGAGGTGGGCATGGACATGTATTACCTATGACACAATTGTCCTTACCCTCATCTCAATCAAAGCTTCATCAAGCAGCCAGTGTGATTTCTTCTTTTTTTCTTTAGATCACAAGCACAATTAGTTTATATTTACTACTCGGCTTAAACCTTTCCTGTCTTCTACTGTGTGTTTTAAATAAATCCCAGAAGCCCTTCCATAACTTATGACACTAGACATGATCTGGGCCCTCACCCTTTCCCTAACCCAATCTCATTTCACTATCAGTGTCAAAATCTGGCCTGTCGAACTGAAGTCCTTCAACACACCAATGTAGAATGTAAAATGTCGAAGTTGGTCTCTATGTCTGGCCTCTCCCCTGTCCTTCTAGACTCTATTAAAATGTTTTCTCATCACTAAAGCTTCTCTTGCTCTATGTTGATAATTTTACCCTAGTACTTATCAAAATTTAATTAGGTATTCTGTGTTGATTTAATATACATCAGTCCCAGTAGATTGCAGAGTCTGAGATTAAGGGCCATTCATTCATTTCGGTATGGTCCACACTTAACACAAAGCCTGTAGTAGGTGTGCAAAATGTTTGATAAATGAATGAATGATAAATCCCTTAGGAGAGAGAAAAATGAGTTGATACAGGAGTTTACAGAAGGAATCTAAAGAAGGGTTTCTGGAGAAGATGATATTTGAAATTGGCCTAAAAAAAATAGCGTATGACCACTGAAAAATGGGGGTGGCTACTGGACCAGAGGATTGAAAACAAAGACAGCAGCCCAAACAAGGCATAGAAGGCAGAACACAAGGGGCGTATGTGAAAATAGAGATTCGTTCATTTGGTTATTTTAGGGGTGGGCACGATCCAAAGAGAAAAAAGAAATAATGTTGGGGTACTGGAGTTGGTGGGGAGGAGGGTTTTAGACACATACAAGGTAAGATCTTAGGCATTAAAAAGGAGGAATCTTGATTTCTCAAATTTAATGTCACTAAGACCACAGCATTTTGTCTGTCATTTAATCTTTCATGTATTCTTCACTCATAACATGGGATGACTATCCTAACTTCTTATAGCTTAACTAGATTTTATAATGATTAATATTCATTCTCATGGAGTTCTTTGAGACTTAAAATGCTACACCAAAGTGGTTTTTTTTTTTCCCTATAAAACATTATCATATACATTCTGGGATTTTATGAATATACACTTTGTATAGCAAAAAAAAAAAGCACATTGATAAAAAGACTTTTCACGTCATTTTACCTTTTCCCCATGCTTTAGAAATGACTTAAATTCAGATGTCTCTCACCTTGCTGCGAATCTCCAGTGAATTCCCCAGCAGCAACTGAGTATCCTGTTTTTACAAAAAGGAGAAACAACATAAAAAAATCATTCTTAATGACTTAACAAATGTGGTATATGTAGAAAAAAATGAAAGAACTACCATGATCCTTCTATATTCAAAAACTTATCAAAACATAATAAAAGTTAGGAATTCTATAAAAAACTAATAACATCCATATGAACACTTTTATATGATTTCTGGATGCATCATAGATCTGCACTACGGATCTTATGTAGGAGCGTGACCAAAAAATCAGAGTCTGGAGTCAATTTTAAAAGGATGCATGCTTCCTAATCCACCTTTAAGTGTAAATGGCTGCTGTTGCACTTTAAGAGCTGCTGATCCCTCATGGTCAGACAGGATACTCTGAAAGGTATCCTTTGTGCTCAGGTTTTGCTATTTCTGATCACTACAAGTCCTGCTTCCTAATTCCTTTATTGTTGGTCTTCCATTAATTTCACTTAGCTCTAAAGTGAGGTGGCAGTTACATAGACAAAAATTGACCTTCCATATGACTCAGCAATTCCCCTATTGGGAATATACCTGGAGAAACTCAAATTATTCTACGACAAAGATACCTGCACACGTATGTTTGTTGCAGTTCTATTTACAATAGCAAAAACATGGAACCAACCGTGTTGCCCATCAAAGCTGGACTGGATAAAAAAAAAATGTGGTACATATACACAATGGAATATTACGCAGCCATAAAGCAGGACAAATACACGGACTTTGCAGCAACTTGGATGGATTTGGAGTCGATCATACTCAGTGATTTATCACAGAAACAAAGAACTGAGTTCCATATTTTCTCACTCATTAGGTGACCTTGAACAATTATGCTATAAGAAAGCGATTGGCAGTAGTGAAAAACTGTCAGGGGATGAGGGGTGGGATTGGCAGTTGAGGGAAACTGCTAGGGGAGGGAGGGGCATACCTCAACAAAGGCACCAGCATGATTAATGTTTATATACCTAACTGAATTGTACCGTACATCTTTATAATAAATACATGAATTAATAAAAAAAAGAAAGCTATGGTTTTTTTCAAAATCATCAAGAAATAAAAATACCACTAGGATAACAAAGGTGGGAGACAGCAGTGAAATGACATTGTGTGCTTTGTGCTTAATAAATTTTGAGAGCATTTTAGCAACTGGAAAGTTTCTTGGCCGGGCTTGGTGGCTCAGCCTGTCATCCCAGCACTTTGGGAGACTGGGTCAAGTGGATTGCCTGAGCCCACAGGCTCAAGATCAGCCCGGGCAACTTGGGGAGACCTCATCTCTACAAGAAATAAAAAATAAATCAAAAATTAGCCAGGTGTAGTAGCGGGCACCTGCAGTTCCAGCTACTTGGAAGGCTGAGACAGAAGGATCACCTGAGCCCCGTAGGTTAACACTGGGGTGACCGTGAGCATGCCACCACACTCCAACCTATGCAACAGAGTGAGACACCAACTCAAAAATAAATAAATAAATAAATAAATAAATAAATAAATAGAAAGTTTCTTGTGCTGTTCTAGAAACTGGAGAGAGCTGCTATCATGTCGCTCCTGTAGCACTGGCAGACTCACAAATATATAATGTCTACTCCTGGAGAAATCTCTTATGTGCAAGAGACTGTTATGGGTTCAACAAAATAGCTGCTCAAATTGTGTAGGTTGTACATCATGGTTGAAAAAAAAATAGTCTCATTTAAAAAGAAAAGTCATGAGTCTACTCTAAGTTAATAAGAAGAGAATTTGCATAAGATGCCACATAACATCAGATAAGCCAGGGATAAAATGTGTGTCTACATTTAACAGGACTGTCTTTTGAGAAACCACAAATGTCTTGGGCCATAAATCTCACCGAGGTAACTGTCATCATAGGAAGCTGGAGCCACGTCCGTCTGCTTTTCTCCTGCCAGTTTCCTTAGGATATCCTTGAATGAGTAATTTGCAATGATATCTGCAATGCTGGCAGTGATCACCTGACCTGTGTTTAAACACAGTAACACGTTAACTGAGTGAATGCAAGAAACAGGCAAGCCCTCCCTTAGAAGACATGAAAAGTTTGAACGACACATGCTCCCTTGAAATCGATCATGGAATTGCTTGTTTTTTTGATGATGAATTTTCCTGCGTGCCACCGGAACTTCATGGTAGTGTTGATCACAACTGGGTAGAACTTTCCATTCTGACATAAGATTAGATAATAAGCTATAATATTTTATTGGTCTTTCTGTTGCTTTCAGCATATATACTCCTTCCACCTCACAATGATACAAGTGTCTAAGAGTGAAGACATTTGCAGGCAAAATTTATGTGATTAAATTTGTATTCTAGAATATTCTAGCTAGAAGGAAACTTTAAGATCATTTCTTCAAATATAGCTTTTTCTAGGTAGGGAAAATAGGCTCAAAGAGTTTGAATGTATTCCCTGAGGTCACAGGGTTTTGCTAATAGGATATCTGGCTTTACAACCAAGGTCTCCTATGGCATTCAAATTAAACCTTTTGTGCTGTTGCGAAGGAGAGATGTATTAAATCTATCACTTACTTGATTAATAGATTGTAAAACATGTCAGCTAAGTTAAAGGAAGGAATTACATCATCTTTGGGCCATTGGCTCTTTATGCTAAACTACAGGGAGAGCATAAAGTCATGACAATAGGAAGCTGCCAGTGAGATCCAGAATTTCAGCAAAAGAGGAATCCATGACCACCAACATTGCTATGATAAAAGCTTTGACTAATCTTTCTCAAATAAAGCCACTCTCAGAAGTCTTGAAATATGATTGTATTGGGGTGAACAATTATCTAAAACACAGCTAGACATTTTTAAAAATAATTTTTATGCATTTCTATATCTATTATGAACATGTAAGGCAAAAGAGTGATCTTGTGCTCTTTGGGAGAAAACAAAAGAAATGCTTTCATTTTAAATTTTTTTTAATGAATTTTCTTTCTTATAGAGACAGTCTCACTATGTTGACCATGCTGGTCTCAAACTCATGGCCTCAAGTGATCCTCCCACCTCAGCCTCTGAAAAGCACTGAGATTACAGGCATAAGCCACTGTACCCAGCCAAAACACTTTCAAAAGACTAACACTTAACATTAATTTTAAAGTCTCATTATTCTTTGAAAATTCACACATAATTCCTACAGTCTTTCTGACTGAAGTCCAAAAAAGAATAAAACTGTCAAGCTAGGTCATAAATATTTCCAAGTGAGTGGGACTGAAATGACTGTTCTGATTAAAACAATGATATTTACACATGAATTTTTGAACAATATCTGTAGAATTTGCCAATTTTCTCTGAGTTAGAGCTAAATAACCTCTTCCCTCCTTCCCACATACACCCTGGCTTTGCATGTTTCCTTTAACTGCATTATAAACATTATGCTCTTAAGAAAACCTAAGTAATTAAAATTATATATCTCAAGACAAAGGCTTCTATATGCCATTGCTATGGCAAATTTTCAGTAAATCATTTGCAACAGACATTTTTTTTCAACTTAAGGAAAAAATTGGAGTTGTGAAATTAACCAAGTGAATAAGAAGAAAAAATTACATAAACAAAATTTTAATTGTATATTCATTTGTGATACAAAATACATTGTTTTTCAGTTTTCAAAATAATTTTTAAAGAAAAAAATTTAATTATTTGGTGTTCATAATTGTACATGATGAATTAATCTTAACAGTAGTATATATAAAATTCCATCATAAATCCATCTCTCTGGTATCCTTCCCATGGGTTCTTAAACAAGATTAAGTCTCTTTAATTAAAAAAAAAAAAAAGAAAATCCTCCCTCAACTCTTTGTCTCAGATTCTCCTTTATCCTAAACTTTACAGTCAAAATTACAGGCGATTCTTTGTATTCTCTCTTTAGGCATCTCATCCATAACCATGGCTTCAGTTGTCACCAATGTGTAAGAGATGCCATTTATTTTTCTCCCTAGATGTAAGCCCTAAAGACATATGTGAAACCCTTTGGACATCTCAAACATTTTCATACTCCACATTACAAGAAGCAGACTTAACATCTTCCATCTTCAACCCACTCCAAACCTATTCTCTTCCAGCGTTCTCTGTCTCAGTGAGTGGTACCCACCTACAACCATTCAGTTGCAGACGTCAGAAATATCTTTGAGATCTCCCTTCCCTCACCTCCACATATCCATCCCATCATTTGGGCTGTTTATTTTGACTCCAAAGTATCTCTTAAATTTCTCCTCTGTTTCCATCTGTACCGTTATCACTCTAAAAAGCAAACATCTTTACCTGAAACTTCAAGCTAGTTTACCTTATAAACTTAAAATTAGCTCATATCCTTATAACAACCTCATAACTAGTTTGCTCATATTTTACTTTGGGAGTATCCAATCCATTTTTCATAATGCAGTCTGAGTGATCTTTTCAAAACATGAATTTGATAATAGCATCCCATGCTTATGATTCTCCAATTTTTTTTACTATACTAAAGACAAATACCATCTTCTTTTTAAAAATTGTTTATTTTTTATTTATTTTTTAGAGAAGGGGTTTCATTTTGTCACCCAGGCTGGGGTGCAGCGGCAAGAGATCACAGCTTAAGGTAACCTCAACCTCTTGGCCTCAAGCAATCCTCCCACCTCAGCCTCCTGAGTAGTTGAGACTACAGGCACACAGCACCATGCCCAGCTAATTTTTCAAATTTTTTTTATAGAGGGCTTGCTACATTGCCCTGGCAGGTCTCAAACTCCTGTGTTCAAGTGATCCTCCTGCTTTGGCCTCTCAAAGTGCTGGGATTACAGGAATGAGCCACTTTGCACAGTCCAAGCAACACCTTCTTACTCTAGCTAAAACCATCCAATTAACTCTTAAAATCCACCAATGGTTTCCTATTGCTTGTAGGATGAAGACGAAACTGCTCACCGTGGCCTAAAAACCCTCCATAGTGGGCGGGACCACTCCATGCAGGTCTCCCCTCGCTTTCTTAACTGGTCACCTTGAATTTCCTCCATTCTCACCCACACTGCACTCCTGCATGTCATAGAATATTTGCACATAGTCCCCTCTCTCTCTTCACACATGTAACTCCTACTCAGTGTCCAGATCTCAGTTCAGGGTTGCTTACTTCCAAATTAATTGAATTGACCTTGGGTTGCTGCTGGTCTACGCAGCACCTTGATAAGAATTAGGTCATCCCTAGGCTGGATGGTGGCTTACTCCTGTAATCCCAGTGCTTTGGGAAGCCCAGGTAGGAGGATCGCTGGAGCTCAGGACTTTTAGACCAGCCTGGGCAACATACTGAGACTCTGTCTTTACAAAAAATTTTAAAAAATTAACTAGGCATGGAGGTACACACCTATAGTCCCAGCTACTCAGGAGGCTGAGGCAGGAGTATCCCTGAGCCCAGGAAATCAAGGCTGCAGTGAGCTATGATTGTGCCATTGGACTCCAACCTGGGTGGCAGAGAGCCTGTCTCCGATGATGAAGCAGAAGATGATGATGATAGAAGGTCATCCTTCTTGGGGAGATGCCCTCCTGCACCTGGGTTCGTGGCTCCTTAAGCAGAGCACAGGTGGGATATTCCAGCTCCCTGTCAGCCAGTGGTCAGAGGACAAAACACACTGTGCACAGCTACCCTGGAGAAGCCTCCTAAACTCACAGGCCCCATCACGACATGTCTTTCCTTTAGAATATGTATGACGGCTGGAGTTTCTCAGGCACTCCTATGAGTATTCGACTAATGCCTGCATCGTTCCCTGGATATTAACCTCCGTGACGTGATGGTGAGAACAATGTCTGCTTTTACTCATTATTGCCTCCCCCGCACCTAGTACAAAGCCTGGCAGAGCCTCCATAAATTCTTGGTGGAAAAATGAATTGTTAAGTTGTAAGAGTATCTGAAAAGCAATACCAGAGATGGCTGGGGAAAAAAACAAAACAAAAACAAAGTAACATATTGTACCTGGACAAAATATTTGATTACTGTGGTTGTTTAGAACTGTAATAGACTCTCTTTAGCCGATCAGAATGTTCTCAGGACACAGAATTGTTTTCTTCTTCCAAAAAATAAAAATAAATCTCAAACATATGATTTTTTCTTATTAAGGTATAAAAATCTCTGAATGGTTTATTTTTTTTCCCCAAATCATTCTGATCTTTCAAAAACTAAAATAAAAGTATATGTTCCTATAGAAAAATATCATTTATATGACAAAGTACAAATGAAATGATGCTTCTGTTCTTACTCAGGCGGAAACTAAAAACGTTGATCTCATACAGGTAGAGACTAGAATAGTGGTTACCAGGGTGAGAAAGGGTGGCGGGGGCACAGGCAAAGGTTGGTTAAAGGATACAAAAGTACAGCTAGGTAGGAGGAAAATTCTAGTGTTCTATAGCACTACAGGTTGATGACAGTTAACAATACACTGTATTATTTTAAATAGCCAGAAGAGCAGATTTTGAATGTTCCCAACACAAATGACAAATTTTTGTGGTGATGGATTTGCTAATTACACTGATTTGGTCATTACACATTGTATACATGTATCAAAATATCACAATGTTCTCCATGAAATGTACAATTATTATGTCAATTAAAAATAATAATAAAAGGAAAAGAGAAATGATGCTTCATTTGAGAAACTATGAATAAGGATATAAAATTAACATAATTGAAAATAAACATGTAACATTACTTCTGCTTTGTCTTTTTGTTATGAACAGAACATACCTTGCCAGTAAAAACTCCCAGGTCCTCCGACAATAAGGTCTCCATTCTACAAAACAGCCACAGCAATAATAATTGGAAAAGAAACACTAAAATGTTTTAAAGGGTGATAAATCATTGTTAATAAGCATCACTAACAATTTGTTACACATAAAAATCAATTTTTAAAAGAAATTCTTATATTTGAAGCCTGCAGGTCATTTCCTTTCTTTTTTTTTCCTTTCAATTAGTGTGTTATCATATTAAATAATTTTAACTTGACTCAGTTAGATAAGTTGAATGCTCTCCCTTGAGTTTTATAAATTCAGTCTTTTGGCACTGCCTCTAGTAGCAAAATATCAACATGTTTCATGCTGTGCAATTTAGCAGACATGGTCTTTTGAGCCTTGGTGATAAAAAGAAAATTCCATTCCAATTTATCACAAGGTCATAGTAATGCCTATTTTTTTTTTTTTTTAATGCATTTGCAAAACGTCCCCTTTCTCAGGAGAGACAGCAAAAACTCCAGGCTAGCAAATGTAAACATTTTCTCATCTACTTACAGCCCACCTTTTATACCCTACTTCCTTAACCCTCAGTGGAAAAAGACAAAACGAAACAAAATAATAAAGAATACAGTGATAGAAAACAGTTTATGTGTTGAGGGAATATTTCTATACTATTTTCAAAACCACAGAATCTTTCCTCTTATATTCTTGCTAGCCCTCTCTGTTTTTAATTTTGTGAAGTACATATAAATTTTAATATGAATATTAAATCTAGCTGACCAATTATAGCTGACATAAAACAATTAATAGATTCTTATGATCTTTATAGAAATACACTTCTTTATTGCATTTTTCAGGTTTTCATTTAAAAATTACTGCCACAAAGAGTGGAAAGAAAGTGCTTTTTATCATATACATTCTTTATAGTTTATTAGGATGTTTTGTGCATAGATCACTTTCATAACAGTAAAGAGTAAACAGAAAAAAATATAAAAAGAAGTCACCAAAACAGACTAGATATGTACTTCAAATTTCTTTGGCAGTTGTTGTTTAGGGGGTGTGGAGTGAAAGACAGAAAAAAAAAAAAAGAAAAAAATCAGTTTAAATATTGAAACTGTGAGACCAAAATAATTCACCTTATAAAAATCCAGACTAAATCCTGCTTGGCAGTAACCCTGGCCTTCAGGATCAGCATTGCCTAGAATGATCAAAATATATAAATGTTATAATGTCATCATTCCTAAGCTAGATTTTAATAACAAAGTCAGGATATTCTGTTGGGTTCTATAGAGACTTCTAAATAAAAGGTGATCAATATGTGTTTTATATTTATTTTTGAAATTCATTCCAAGTAGTTTATTAAATATATTTTCATCTATTTTCTTATCCTATATACCACTGTGATTCTATAGGAATACCAACAGAAATAATATCCCTCTGTGTTATTTGATTTATAACTCAAGTTCATTTGAAGAAATAAAATCTCCATCTTTAGATTAAGTTCCAGATTCTTCACATGGCAGTAAGGAATCTCTCTGCTACCCACTCATGCTAAGTGAAGTCAGACAGGCCTGTCATTACTAATGGGTGATGCTTTGGCAAAGGGAGAGACAAGCAAGATGAACTGTGTGGACGCTTTCTGCTGGGGCAACCAACAGGATTTCTGTTTTTATGCTCTTTAATAGGAAGTCAATTTTAAATTATTCTATTATGATATGTTAAGTAAACTGGCAAGTTGCATTTCCGTTCACAGTTAATCTCACTGGAACATTGCAATGCTAGTGTTCACAAAAGAGAAAACTCTAGTAATGGCTTATTTTGCTTTCTACCCAATATAACACACTAAGTGGAATGTTCAATAAGATCTCCTTGTATAGTTTTGTAAACTACAGGCAGGCCAACATGTAGAGTCCAAGGATATTGTTGTAAGAAGTCTCTGGAGCATTAGGATCAGGAATACACTACTTGTACTTTAAAAGAGTTTCTACAACTTCTAAAGTGCTTAAATTATAGCCAAAGTATGGTGAAGCAGAAGCAATCTCAATCATACATAGCTAGATATGAACATGCAAATAATGCCTCCTTTCTTACCAAGGATATTCCTGAATGGAAACTGAAGTAAGAGAGCTGAAAAGGAAACGCACATCATCACAGGAAAAATTTATAGGCTGGGCAAGTGCCTGTTTCAGAAGCTTTTTGAAATAGATCTGGCCTTTCCAGTTTCCCCTAGAATGTCTTCTGGTTTTTTATTTCCTTTGGTCAGCACTTAGCTAATTTTAGCACTGTCATCATCAATTCTTTCCAGATGCTCCCTTTTTAAAAAAAAAAATACTTTTTTACTGCATACACTGTATTTTAACAAAATTTGTTCTGTATTTTACAACTGTATTTTTGGTTTATGGTTATTTAATTCTATAAAGTTCTCTGAATGTGCAGCTGTCTAACTTCAAATGTCTACCCATTTTCTAGAAACTAACATAAATATTTATTTGCATCAAGAAATATACATAAATACATTATTTATTACTATATGAACATATATGTGTTACTTTGAGCATATTGAAGAAATGTATTTTTCAAATGCATAAACCTTTTTAAAAATCTTTTAAAAAATCAACTCTGACTTTTTATTTGTAATATTGTAAGTTATTCAAAAGGGAAGAAGCATGGTCATTCTTTGAAGTAATTTTGCTTAAAAACAGGCAACTGAAAAAATTAAAAGAAAATATCAATTTTTCACAAAATTCATTGAGAAAATAATCAGCTTTAAATGTTTATTTTAAGTGGCAATTATATTCGGGTGTGAGACTTTCTTTATTGCAAAGTCATTTTTTTCTTGGTGAATTATAATTTACAAGAGCTGACGAAATCTTTCTTGCCCAAACTTGAGAGCATCTGTGAACTTGATAATGATGTCTCAGAGTGAACTCAGGAATTCCTAATTGTTCGCCACTACCCATCGGCTCCTGAAGTAAAATGGAAGGGTGTGTGTGAACCATCCCACCTGAATTATGAATGACCATAAGAGCTGCCGGCATGTGAGTAATATGAAATGAGCAGGTGACTGCTCACAGGACCAGTGGAGTGGGTTTGTGATGTAGAACTAACATGAAGTGCTTTTTAAATTCTCTTTTGAAAATAATATTGCTGATGTTCCTATTCTGTGATATTGACCATATGCTCATGAACAAACTAGCTTTGCGTTAATGATCTGTGAACTTCTAAGCCATGACAGAAAGTCTCCTCCTTGGATGATTTGAGGGAGGATGATTCTAGGAAGAAGAGGAAAACCATGAGGATGTGAAAATGGTGAATGTACCCCAGAGCTGAGAGAATTCTTGGCAATTTATTTAGGTATTCCGCAACTCAGCATGAGCTCCATTTTACCTTTGTTGAACTTTTCTTTCACTTAGGAAAATAAAGAATAAGTAAATTGGCACCAAAATATGTCCATGTAACTCAAGATGAGAGTGTACTATAATTTATAGATAGTGGTTCAAAGTCACACTGAAACTCTTGTCTCACAAGTCTAGATTCCATGCTGTATTTTAATCTGAACTTTCACATCCCACAGGTAGTCGAGCAAAAAGACAGAACAGGAAGCAGTGACAAGTTTTACAAATAATCTTCCTTGATGGTGTTTGGGAGAATATATTATCGAGGCAAAAGGCATGTGAAAGACAGACTTGTCTTTTTAGTTATAAGAGTTTGCTGTTATGGGGAAGCATCTTCAACAAATCATAAAATATAGGATATGAATGGATGTAAATGCTGATGAAGCAAGTTCGGTATTGATTTTCTGTGCCACTATTAACTTTATGAGCAAATCTGGGATTTCATGGGATCTTTCTGCATGTTTTATCTTTAGCATCATTATACTGACCTCTTACCAAACCCAAGGGCACAGCCCCTTGAATGGAACATGATAAAAACTATACCTCTTAGTGCTTGTGCCTGGGAACTACCTCTCTTCCCTAACCAAGGTCATTGCTAGAAGAATACCTTCCTATCACCCTCCCTAAAAAGCTCTTCTTTTCACTCCTCCAGCATAGCTCTCTCTCTCTCTTCTTGCCTTGCTATATTTTCATCTGTAGTACTTTTCACTACATTCATTCTGGCATTATTCATTCCCAACATCATTCTGGCATTATATAGTGAACATATTTATTTCCGTGTTTGTTGTCTGTCCTGCTAGAATGTAAATTCCTTGAACACAGGGGTTTGTTTCCTCTTGTTCTTTGCTGCATTCCCTACACAGAATAGTTAGTCCTCAAGTGTTCAATAAACCTGTGCTGAATAAATAAATAACTGTCTCATTATCTACAAAGAATCCCCATTTTAAAGCTATTTAAAATCAAATCCTTATTTTGCAGACTATCCATTCAGCTGACATTTGCCATAATGTGAAATATCTGATTTACTTTAGTATTTTTGAAACAGAAAGTCATCATCTTCTCCGTGTAAAAATCCTCACCAAAACCACAAGAGTTGGTCCACTCCTAGTTCTTTAGATCTCTAAATCTCAGTGGCTTCTTTGTTAACTTTGTAATATCACTGATCCATTCTTTCTTTTCATTGTTTTATTTCTGATATTTGCTCATTATCTTGTCTAAATTAATCTTAAATTTAAAAAAAATTATGCCAAATGGGGAAGATCTACTTATAGTTTTAGAGATCAATCTCATTTGGGATTGAATTAAAAAAAATCAGTATCAGTTACTAGAATGTTCTTTCTTATGATATTTTTCCTCCGATGCAATCTTGCAAATTAGCAAGAATAAGAATGATGATTTATTGGTTACTTATCAACAAATCCCAATGATCTATCTGGCATACAGAAAACTGGAGGAATTCACACAAGGAATCAGTAGACAAATCAATCCATCAGTCCATCCATCCATCCATCCCTCTATCTTGAATATTCCACAAAGAAAAGGTGAGTAAACAGTAATGCTCCAATGATGAAACTCCCAGGCTTGCTTTAAAGATTCCTTGTTTGAAGATTCCTAGAACTGCCCAATGAGATTTGGTCTCTAAGTGTAAAAGTATTTTTGAAAAGAGGGGATTAAACATCTTAAGCAGAAAAACATATTATGCAGGTAACCTGAGTACACAGCTGGCAAAGAAAGCAACAGCCATTGGGACCACAGGACAGACAGAAATCTCAAGCTCTATCTGTGTCCCTAGGTCCAAGCATGCTAACACCATTCCTGAGATAAACAAGTGGGTAGTCAGCATTCTTCAGATCACAGAGTGTGAATTTTGAACAGCAACTGACAGTTTAAGGCCTAAAATAAGGAATCAATCAATTCCTCTGCAAAATATCTAACAACAGATATTTTCTAAAACACAAAAGAGGATCAGCAGAATTCTGTGCTTTAGCCCTTTTGTCACATCAAGACACCTGTAAGGTTGCCAAAAATCTTTACCTACCCACCTATCTCCATGGCTTTTTCCTAGTAACCCTGTAAAGTATCAGTGGTGTTTCGAGCTTACCTGTACTCCTGCCTACAATAGAAAAGCTCTCGGGCTACATGTCAGTTTCAAATTAACATATAACTTACTGTTCCGACAAGGAGAATACTCAGCATAGGCACTGAAATTCTGAATTGCTACGTAGCAAGTGCCAACTGGATCCTTTTCTGGTGTTGGTTTAAGAGTTCTCCAGTGATACAAAGGAGCACAGGCCTAGGAAACATCAAAGATAAAAAATACATTTTTGAGGTAGGTTTCTCATACTATAGTTTTAATTGAATTATTGATTACTGTACCTAAATGACAATAAACTATGTTAATTTATTAGATAAATTAATTGGCCTCCAACATGCTAATGAGTATCTTGGTCATCAGAGTTCATTAAACCTCCAAAGTCAATTTTTAATGTTAATATGGTATAAAATTGGTGAAAACTAACTAAATACAAAAGAATGAGCTTCCCTCTATAGAATTTTTAATTAATCTTTTTGCCAAAAAAAAGAAAATCGTTTCTAAAAGCAAAAGCTCATTTTTTCTTTTCTTTTTGTTTTTTTGATTAGAACTATGGGGAAAAAATGAGCATTCAAATAGCAGATGAATCAGTGTCACAGAGAACTAGTTCCTTTCTTTATCTAATTGTTGTTTAAAAAATGACTTTCAAATCAAAGGATGCAGACAAGTTTGGAAACTTTGGTTTTATGGATTCTCCTAATTGATCACTGAAATTGCATCTTAAGATTTATTAAACAATGACTATCATCTCTACATGCTATCCACTTTGCACAGTATTTTTGGCTTTCTCTTTCATTTTCTGGTTTTGATTCATGGCAAAACGGAAGATAAAAGACAGTATCTTGTGCTTGCTTTAACGGTTTTATAAGAGAGTACCAGAAAATCATTAAAAGAGCATGTTAATGACCTACAAGCATTTCCAAGGCACTAAACACTGGATGTGAAGTAACCCAAGACTATGAAGCTGCTTGTTATGGAGAAATTTTTTTTTTTTTTTTTTTTGAGTTGGAGTCTCACTCTGTTGCCCAGGCTGGAGTGCAGTGGCATGCTCACGGCCACCCCTGCGTTGGCCTGCTGGGCTCAGGCGATCCTTCTGTCTCAGTCTTCCAAGTAGCCAGAACTACAGGCACACGCTACCATGCCTGGCTAATTTTTAAATTATTTTTATTTTTATTTTAATTTTTTTGGTAGAGATGAGATCTCACCATGTTGCCCAGGCTGGTCTCGAATCCGAGGGCTCAGGCAAATCTCGGCCTCCCAAAATGCTGGAATTACAGGCTTGGGTCAGCGCACCTGGCCAAGAGATTTTTTTGAGATAAACTCCAAGGACCAGACAACATTTTTGAGAGTGGTGAGTTATCCAAATCATTCCATAAATGCCTTCTCAGTTCTTAGAAGGCAAAAACCCAAAGGGTTAAGAATATTATGGTCCCGGTTTATTTTCTGCTAATATATAGACCGGCAAATTCAATAATGATGCATACTATACAAATGTACATACACTTTGCTCACACTTTGGAGCCTCTTAGAATTTATTTAACTGCCTGCAGCACTTAACACAGAGCTTTGCGTATAAAAGTTACTTAGGGCAACCCCTTCGGGTCGCCTCCCATTGTAGGAAATTTTCTGTCCTTTTAATAAATTCTGCTTTAAAAAAAGTTGCTTAATAGGTGTATGTTGAATTAAATTAAATGCATGCCCAGTAGACAAGTTGAAAACATAATTTAACAACACCAATGATTATGCATTTGTTGTTATATATTTGCTTTTAGGATACATATTTTTTCATTTCAGAAACTAATTTGATGCCTCATCCATGCTTTCTAATTTTGTAAATGTTCCTCTGGAGAAAATAAGGCAATCTTTATGATATTTTGCCTTATGACACCATTTCTAGGATATATTACGGTGAAAAGGGGGAACTGCCCCTAAATTAGATGGCTTAATATCAGGAACATTACCAGCAAAACTGAACTTAAACAACAGCAAGATAAATGTGCAATGCTCTGTCTGCTTCCTCAAAAGGTTAGATTCTAACAAGAGCATTGTATATGAAAGGACAGATGTCAAATCCTCTTTAAGGGTAAATAGATTATCAAGTCAATCAGTCTGCTACCACTTTCAGCTATTTGGTTTTGTCTCTCTGTATATTGTAAAGTCTTGACAATACCCCCAAACTGTCTAACTCAAGTAAGTTTCCTTATCTTGGGGCCCTCTTAGTGAACTGATAAGTTACCTGGTTAATACATTCAACATTAAGGTGTGAGTGAAGCACAGGTGAAGCATTCACCTGTATAGTTCAACATTATTCAACTGGACTCACTTTCTGTCTCACCAAAGGACATTTAATGCCATGAAAAATTTCTCCAGTGTTTACCTGATGTCCGCTCTAAAAGTTTACGCTTTTTATATCTGTTAAATTTTACACTGATGTGAAACACACTGATATAATATGTTTGGGCTTTGACTCAAACCTAATGTATGATGGGGGACCCCCCCAAAACCCACAATTTATTTATACAAAAATATGTATTTCTTCTTACATGTTTAAACTTCAGTCACCTTCAAAGTACTCTCTGTTTGATGCAATACACCTAATGAGATGCTTTTTCCACTGCTCAGAACAGTTTTGACTCATCAATTTTGATGCCTTTTAGTGCCTCTGTCATTTTTTGTTTCACCTTTTCCACATAAGCAAACGTTTCCCTTTTAGGACTTTTTTTTATCCAGGAAAACAAAAAAGTTATTCAGGGTAAGATTGGGTGAACAGGGAGGGTAGGGTATTGGAGGTTATGCCATTGTTGGTCAAAAACTGCTGAACACTCAGTGCGTTGTGAGCAGGTGCGTTTGTAAATCAACCATCATGTAACGGACAAACATATTGGAAAAAGTCTCCAAAAAAAAAAAATTACTAAAACCAAATGCAGCCTCTCACAGCACCAGCTGGCACACAAATGCTGATGGATACTAGACATTTACCTAGTGGGGGGAAGCCTGTGCTACAAGGGTTCCATCCTCCCAAAGATAATTCCAGGTTTTTTGGGGTCCCCCCTCATAGATACTCATGATACCTAGATATTCAAAATGGTTCTTCTGTAGGTCACATTTTTCAGTTCTAATAATTTTGTCACATAAGAGAGAATTTAATTGTTAATTCTGCTAAGTTTCAGCATGCAAAAATTTAACTTGAAATGTAATTTATATTATCCTATTTCTCATCACATAATTTAGAAAATGCAAGCATGCTAAACTCAATTATTTTAATTGTAACATGGCATATTATTTTATTTTCAATGGCTTTGAAAGTTTCTACAAATATTAAATATTGAATATTGTGTTACAATTATATGTTAAAGATAAAATTTCAAGACTTAAAAAGGATCAGAATAATACCCTACATATTTTTAACCCCAAACAGTTATGAGATGGGATTTGTTGTGCAGTAGTAATTGCTATAAGTCATACACCACCGAAGAACAAAAACATTCTTAACAATTCTGGAAAGTGAAAACTATATATTAATGCAAATATAATTCTACAGAAATTATATTGTAACTGCTGAACTTCTAACTAGAGAGGGCTATCTATACTCTATATATTACCTGTTTTATATCAAAATCTTTTTTGAGGTTAACCAGACTAAATAAAGCAAGGCATTTCCTTTAGATACTTATTCTTATTAAATCATAATTCAAATAGCTTTAAACAAATCCTAAAAGTCAAAGTTATTGCTTTAGTGTTATAAGGAAATTAAAACCAATAGGTTAAAAAAAAACCCCAAATTTAAATAAAAAACAAAAACAGAAAAACTTTCCAGATTAGCTTAACTACCATTTATTTCTGAATAACTAAGTCATGTATCATTGCTTAAAACAACGGAAGAATTACAAAGTCATAGCATCTTAAAGTTGAAGGATATCTATTAAGGAACAGATTTTTTTTTTTTTACTTTAAAAAGCATTAATAAACTCAGAGAATCTGCAGTTAGTAGTTTTTAAAAATTACCATTAAGGAAATATTTTATTTATTTCTAAAAAGGATTAATGATATCACAATAGATTAACTTTTTAAGCAATCTTACAATAATAGTCCTATTTATCTGGTCAAATATGAGGCTGCCCTTTCATCCAATCTTAAGCAATAGTATTTACCTCTTTAAGATTTAGCTTGTCTGTCTTTCATAGTCATTTCTGAAATATTTGAAACTATCTAATTAATTTTCTAGAAAACAAAGCCTTATCTCCTATAGCTTTGAACACTAAAGTGAGTCTTTAATTTTAAGCATTAAATTGCTTTCAAAATGCCAAGAAACTTATCTCAGAAACTCTAACATGTTCCTGTAGGGAAATAACTTTTCTAAATATGAGTTTTAAAACATTTCAGTGCAGATAGTATTCTAAAGCAGCTCCAACAGCACATAGTTCATACTCACCACAACTTTCCCTTTGTGAGCTTTCACTGTTGCTCCAAACCACTGGTTTGATTTAAACTCTATAGGTTCTTTGGTTCCATTAACTCTGATCTTTCTGTTGTCTGACAAAGAGTATATGAATAGTTAATAATTTGTAAATCATGACAGCTAGTGAAAATACACAATAATAAACTTGAACCTTAAAAATACCTAAAGAACTAATAACAGTCCTTTCCAACCCCTTCCAAAAAATTAAAGAGGAGGAAATACTTTGAAAGACCAGCCCCACCCTGATACCAAAACCAGCCAAGAAAAGAAAACAAAGTTACAGGGCAAAATCCCTGAATGAACATAGATACCAAAATCCCCAACCAACGACTAACAACCAAAATTCAACAACTCAATAAAGGGATTATCCACCATGAGCAAGTGGGATTTATCTCTGGGATACAAGGGTGGTTCAACATATGCAAATTAAAAAGTGTGATATATCATATTAACAGAAAAAAGGTCAAAAACCACATGATCATTTCACTAGATGCAGAAAAAGCATTTGACAAAATTCAACATCCTTTCTTAAAAGTAGGCACGGAAAGGAATGTACCTTAACACAATAAAGGCTATATATCATGAGGCCGCAGCAAGTATCATACACAGTGGTGAAAAGCTGAAATCTTTTCCTTTATAATCAGGAACAAGACAAGGATACCCTCTCTCAACACATCTATTCTACATAGTCCTGGAAGTCTTAACCAGAGCAATTGGACAAGAAGAAGAAATAAAACATATCCAAAAGGGAAAAGAAGTTAAATTGTCCTTATTTGCAGAGGACATGGTCTTATATATAGAACATCCTGAAGACTCCACCAATAAACTGTTAAAAATAATTAAAAAATTCAGTAGAATTGCAGAACACAAAATCAATACACACACACAAAAATCAGTAGTGTTTCTATAAACTAAAAGTGAACTATCTGAAAAAGAAATTAAGAAAACAATCATATTGGCAATGGCATTAAAAAATACTTAGGGCAGGTGATGTCAGCAAAATGACAGACTAGAGGTACTTCATGCATCCCCCTCACAAAAAAAAGGACCAAAACAACTACATTTTAGCCAGAGTAGCTTAAGGAGTATGCTGGAGTACAGCAAGAGAGTGACAAGAACCCTGTGGAGAACAAAAATTCAGGATGGCCGCATAGAGAAACAAAACACCTTGTCTCCATTTCATCTCCCCAGCTGAGATCAACTCAGATCCAGGAAGGACTCTCTCTATGAGGAAAAGATAATCAGGAGGGCCCCAGAAGTGCCCATCACTGCCACAGACATCTGCAGTCTTTGCTACTGGAGAATCCTGCAGTCCTCACAGGCCCTGAGTCCAGTCCAAGGAGTACCTGAAGTTCACACAACTTCATATCTCCAGAGAAGGAGTCTGTGATGTGCCCCGTCTCCCATGACCCAAGCTGCTACTGTGCTGAGCCATCTGGAAACTGGCACCACTGCTAGAGTGTACCCTGCTTTGGGGGCCAGTAGCCACTGCATCTCTCCACCCTTGAGGCACAGTGGGCATTGCACAATATGCACACACACACACACACACACACACACACACACACACACACACACACACAATAGTGCACTATTCCTCAGCCAACCCACTGTAACTCCCTATGCCCTGGGACCAAGCTGGCTAGGAGGTACTCCATCTCCCCCATCCCAGTTGTCGCTACGTCTTACACTCTTGGAACCTAGGCCCAGGGGAGCAGCTGCATTCTCAACCCCCAGTATCTGAACCAACCTGGTCCCTCAGCCCTAGGGAATCGGAATATTGGCCCATGGGAGCAGGTGTGACCCTGGCACTCAAGCCCATTGGTGTCCAACCCCAGGGAAACATAACCTTGGGTGAGCTATACCACCTGTCCTCTGGACTAAACAGCAACATCACCCCACCTTCCTAAGTGCTGGAGCTCAGCCTTCCATAGTCTAAGCTGCTGGGGCACACCATCTCCTTTGGCAGTAAAACCCACATTACCCAGCTTCCTCAGAGCACCCCACTACCACTGCACCCCCCCATTCCCAGATCCTTACTGCTGCTGCACTCAGCCTGACAGAGACTGGGCCCCTGCTGTGTCCCATCACTCCAGGGTCTGCACTATAAGGTACTCTCTCTCCTAGTGCCTAAGTTGCCACTGTGACCTGTTGACTCCAGGACCTGAATTGTAACTGTGCCCTGCTTCCTAGGGTCTGAGCCTTTGAAACACGCTTTTCTCTCCCAAGCCATGCCAGGGCTGCCCATTGATTCCAGGGAACAGAGTCACTGCTATATCCCCAGCCCCTGAACCTGAGATATTGGGGCATGCCTCAGAGCCACAGTCCTTTGGCTTAGTGGGAGCACTGCATCCACCCCATGCCTAAGAGAGTGGCTCTGTGCCCATGTCACATAGGCTACAGTAGTTCAACAAAACACTAAGCCCAGGGTCCTAGCTCCATGGCCACTCTGAGCACCTGGGTCCTGAAATACAGCAGCCCTGCAACTGCCTATGGTCCATGTCAGACCCAACACCAAAAGGGATCTTCTCATCTGTCTCCTCACTGTGGAGAAAATGAGAATTGGAGGATCTCTAAAGCCCTTGCCACCAAAAATCCTAAAAACCGACATTACCACCACCCCTGCCACGAATTCCTGCAGCGTAGTCCACTGACATATAAGCAGTCATCAGTGCCGTAGATTACAGCTGAAGAAGCTGCAGAGACAATACTACTGTACCCATTCAGAATCAAAGCCAATGCACCCTGCCCAATCAAAACCCTAAAAAGTTTTACACAGCAAACAATCAAAGTGAAGAACCAGCCTGAGGAATGGGAGAAAATATTTGCAAACTATATAAGAAACTCAAACAACTCAATGGCAAGAAAACAAATAACGTGATTTAAAACTGAGCAAAGGACCTCAACTGACATTTTACAAAAGACCTACAAACGACCAACAAGTATATATGAAAAAAATGCTCAGTGTTACTAATCATCAGGAAAATGCAAATGAAAACCACTATGAGATATCGCCACCCCCCTTTTAGAATGACTGTTTTCAAAAAGACAGATGATAACAAGTGTTGCTGAGGTTGTGGAGAAAGGAAACCCTAGCATACTACTGGTGGGAATATAAATCAGTACAGTATAGTCATTATGAAAAACAGTATAGAGGGTCCCAAAAAATTAATAAAAGAACTACCATATGATCCAGCAATCTTACTTCCGGGTATATATTCAAAGAAAATGAAATCAGTATGTTGAAGAGATATCTGCACTCCCATGTTCATTGCTGCATTATTTACAATAGCCAAGATACAGGATCATCTCTAAGAGTCCTTCAACAGATGAATGAATTAAGGAAATGTCATATATGTAAATGTCATCTATTTAGCCTTAGAAAAGAAGGAAATCCTACCATTTTAGACAACATGGATAAACCTGAAGATATTATGCTAAGTGAAATAAGCCAGGCACAAAAGATAAATGCTGTATGATTTCACTTCTATGTGGAATCTAAAAAAGTCAAACTCACAGAAATAGAGAATAGAATGGTGGTTTACCACAAGCTTGTTGGGACTGGGAGATGTGGACGTGTTGGTCAACAGGTACAAAATTTCAGTTGGGTGATGACAGTAGTATTGCATACTTAAAATCAATAAAAGAATAGATTTTGGGTATTCTTACCATAGACACACACATAAAAGGTAACTGTGTTAGGTGATGGATATGAATATATTAATTGCTTGACTATCATTCCACAACGTCTGCACACCTCAAGATTGCATTGTACACTATAAGTACATACAATTTTTATTTGTCGATTAAAAAAGCACTTGAAAACCAATTTTCATATACAGGGAGATTTCGCTTTGATTAAGTCTGGGCTAGAGGATGACTTTCAATAAATATGAAATGAATATATGTATTTGAATGTGACATTTCACAACTTAAAAGAAGCATTTTCTTAAGTTGACATTTTAGAGGTAACTGTACTTTAGATATGTAGACTCTGATGGTCTTGAATCTACACTTCGGTTATTGATTTGTTTCAGAATGAACAACAGATATTTATAACAGTTCTAAGGAATTCCAAATCTTTTCCAGTAGTGAAACACATGAGGTTCTCCCTGATCTGAAAGGCACAGGCTTCTCAACATGTCTTAGCGGGTACCAACATTGAAGGACTCCAGGGACTTGGTTCTTAACTGAGTAACATGTGTCTATACAGCCACAGAAGATAACACCCCAACACAATTTTACATACACTGTGCAGATGTCAACATGAGAGGGGAGCCTCTAGATAGAAACTAGACCCAATTATAAAACACTTCAGGTCTTAATAGAAAGCAGATACATTTTCTTTCACTTTTGATTTCTCAGTCAACTTATTTCACATATGGTTCTAACTGTGCAGTTTTAACTAGAGCTTTATCAGTAATAGCTAATGAATTTCTAAAGACATTTGTACTAGGGCATCTTATTTGTATGTGTTTCCTGTGGTGTGCATTTTATTTTTCTTGTCTCTATATTAAATACATGACAAAATAAACTTTTAACTCCTGTTAAATGAGGACAAAATAAACTTATAATTAAACTTTCAATTGAGTTTACTATGATTACAGATTTTTTTTTCCTAGTCATAATTTTTAAAATTTTAAATATGTGGGGTACAATTCAGGGTTAGGTGTATAAATGTTCATTATGCAGGTATCCTTGTTGATGAGATATACCCCCCTCCCCTGGCAGATTCCCACTACTGCCAATCCCACCTCCCCCCCGCCCCGCCTGCTGCCTACCCTGGCAGTTTTCCGCTACTGCCAATCCTTTTCTTACAGTATTACAATAATTGTTCAAGGTCCACTTATGAGTGAGAACATGTGAAACTCAGTTCGTTGTTTCTATGATAGACTGCTCAGTATTATAGACTCTAAGTCCATCCAGGTTACTGTGAAGTTCATGATTTTGTCCTTCTTTATGGCTATGTATTATTCCATCGTGTACCACATTTTTAAAAATCCAGTCCTCTTTTGATAGGCAGCACACTTGGTTCCATGTTCTTGCTATTGTGAACAATGCTGCAATAAACATA